TACTCCTCGACCCGGATCCCGCTCGGACTCGCCGAGTTCCTCCTTGGACTCGCCGAGTCTCCCTTTAAAATTAGGGTTTTCTTTCCTTTCTTGTCCTTCCAGACTTCGGGTGTTACAATTACCATTAGAAGTCTTGGATGCAATGCATGTTCAATTAGAGAAACCTAGATCCAAGCATTAGGGTTTGTATGTGCACATAGGAATGTTCTTATGGCTCAAACCTATGAGATCGTGATGGTGATCGTGATGGAGATGGTGGTGGTGATGATGGTGATGTTGGTGGTGGTGGTGGTGATGATGATGATGATGGTGGTGATGATGGTGATGATGATGATGATGATGATGGTGATGATGTTGGTGATGATGATGTTGATGATGATGATGATGGTGATGATGGTGGTGGTGGTGGTGGTGGTGATGAAGATGATGATAATGATGGTGGTGATGGTGATGGTGATGGGGATGGGGATGGTGATGGTGATGGTGATGGTGATCGTGATGGTGATGGTGATGATAACGGTGCTGGTGATGGTGATGATGATGGCGATGGTGATGGTGATGATGTTTATGATGGTGATGGTGATGATGATGGTGGTGGTGGTGGTGATGGTGATGTTGATGATGATGATGGTGATGGTGATAGTGATGCTCATGATGATGATGATGATGATGATAATGATGGTGGTGGTGATGATGATGATGATGGTGATGGTGATGGTGATGGTGATGGTGATGGTGATGGTGATGGTGATGGTGATGGTGATGGTGATGGTGATGGTGATGATGATGGTGGTGGTGGTGATGGTGGTGATGATGATCGTGATGATGATGGTGATGGAGATGGTGGTGGTGGTGATGGTGGTGGTGGTGGTGGTGATGGTGATGGTGGTGATGATGATGGTGATGGTGATGGTGATGGTGATGGTGGTGATGGTAGTGATGGTGATGGTGATGGTGATGGTGATGGTGATGATGATGTTGATGATGATGATGGTGATGGTGGTGATGATGATGGTGGTGGTGGCGGTGATAATGATGATGATGATAATGATGGTGGTGATGGTGATGATGATGGCGATGGTGATTGTGATAGTGATGGTGATGGTGATGATGTTTATGATGGTGATGGTGATAGTGATGGTGATGGTGATGGTGATGGTGGTGATGATGATGGTGATGGTGATGGTGATGGGGATGGTGGTGATGGTTATGGTGATGGTGATGGTGATGATGATGTTGATCATGATAATGGTGATGATGGTGGTGGTGATGATGATGATGATGATGATAATGATGATAATGATGGTGGTGATGGTGATGGTGATGGTGATGGTGATGGTGATGGTGATGGTGATGGCGATGGCGATGGTGATGGTGATGGTGATGGTGATGGTGATGGTGATGGTGATGGTGATGGTGATGATGTTTATGATGGTGATGGTGATGGTGATGGTGATGGTGGTGATGATGATGGTGATGGTGATGGTGATGGTGATGGTGATGGTGATGGTGCTGGTGATGGTGATGGTGATGGTGATGGTGATGGTGATGGTGATGGTGATGGTGATGGTGATGATGATGTTGATGATGATGATAGTGATGATGGTGATGATGGTGGTGATGATGATGATGATGATGGTGGTGGTGGTGATGGTGATGATGATGGCGATGGTGATGCTGATGCTGATGATGTTTATGATGGTGATGGTGATGGTGATGATGATGATCGTGGTGGTGGTAGTGATGATGGTGATGATGATGATGATGATGATGGTGAACGTGGTGATGATGATGATTGTGATGGTGGTGGTGGTGATGGTGATGATGGTGATGATGGTGATGATGGTGATGATGATGGTGGTGGTGGTGGTGGTGGTGATGATGATGATGATGATGGTGATGATGGTGGTGGTGATGATGATGATGGTGATGATGATGTTGGTGATGATGATGTTGATGATGATGGTGGTGATGATTACCTATATTTTCACCAACTTATAGCTATTAATATCATTCATAAAGTCGTGTACACATACGAGATCCATGACTCGTTTAATAGTTTAACACGCTTATGATCTACATTCACATATATATACTCACAAACACGTATACTTACACACATACACGTACACATATACCGCAACTCATTAATGTATGTAAATATACATATACAAAAATATATTCATCACAAGTTGGTGAAAAGTATAGTGATTACGTGTTAAACTGTGAAACGAATACTTGATCCCGAAGGTGCACACGACTTTATGAATGATATTAAAAGCTATAAGTTGGTGAAAGTATAGATAATCATGTATAGTGGAGCTGTAAAAAAATGAAGCGAAAAAGAAAAAGACGTTTGGTGCTCGAAAAATCGAAAATAAGAAAAATTCGTAGCTAGTTAGCTACGGATTAGCTACGGAATTCTAACGGAAAGCATATTCCGTAGCTAATCCGTAGGTAATTAGCTACGAATTAGCTACGGAATATGTTTTCCGTTAGAATTCCGTAGCTAATCCGTAACTAATTAATTAGCTATAGATTACCTACGGATATTTCTTATTTTCGATTTTTCGGGTACCAAACGTTGTTTTTTCTGCTTCGTTTTTTCACACCTCTATTATACATGATTAACTTTATTTTCACCAACTTATATTTATTGATATCATTCATAAAGTCGTGTACACATACGGGATCCATGACTCGTTTAACGGTTTAACACGATTATGATCTACATTCACATATAAATACGCACAAACACGTATACATACACACATACACGTACACATATACCACAACTCTTTCATGTATGCAAATATACATATACAAAAATAAATTCATCACAAGTTGGTGAAAAATATAGTAATTACATTGTTAAAACTATGAAACGAATACTTGATCCCGAAGGTGCACATGACTTTATGAATGATATTAATATCTATAAGTTGGTGAAAGTATAGATAATCATGTATAGTAGAAATGTAAAAAAAACGAAGAAAAAAAAACGACGTTTGGTGCCCGAAAAATAGAAAATAAAAAATTTCGTAGCTAATTAGCTACGGAGTAGCTACATATTTATCTTATTTTTGATTTTTCGGGCATTAAACATCGTTTTTTTCCCTTCGTTTTTTCCCACCTCTATTATACATGATTATCTTTATTTTCAACAACTTATAGTTATTAATAGTGTTCATAAAGTCGTTTGCACCTTCGAAATCCTTTACTCATTAAATGGTTTAATATTGTATTCGTAGCTATTTCGTAGCCATCGGGTTAACATCCGTAACTATTCTGTAGCTATTCCGTAGCTAATTAGCTACAGAATAACTACGGAATAGCGTCCTTAGTTATTCCGTAGCTATTCTGTTACTAAATTAGGGCGTCCCATTCTGTAGCTAATCCGTAGCCATTCCGTAGCTAATTAGCTACGAAAATTTTCCGTGGCTATTATCCGTATGAAAACACCCTTTTTTCTAGTAGTGCAACCTCATCCTCTCACCTTACCTTACCTACCATACCGTTTTTCCCTATTTAAATGATTGTCTTTGTACGTAAGATAGGGACCAAATGCATAACAAAACAAACAATAAGGATCAAGCGTGTAACAATAACAAACAGTAGGAACCTTCCGAATTAAAAAATAAGTTATGAACCAAACGTGCAAATTACCCCAAACCATAGGGATTATTCGTGTAATTTACTCTAATTAATATAATCACAAGTTGTATTTGTTAACATCCATTAAAGGGCAATACTATAATTGGGGATTATGGGGACCATCTCCCATGTGGCTGTCGTCAGAACAATAAGTCAACTCCATTTTTCTAGAATAAATATGTAAGAAAAGTTGGAAAGGATGATTTGCAGAAGGAAAAGAAAAGATAGAAAGATGGCCAGTTCATGCTCTAATCAATATGTCAGAGAGGAGGTTGGAGAAGAATACCCATACCCATACCCATAACATGTTTGTGCACCCAATTTTGTTACCTTCAAGCTGAGTGGTAGGGATGATTATGATTTGTGGAAGACGCAGATGCTATGTCTCTTAAAGAGTCATGATATGTGTGGTTTCATCGATGGAATATTTGTAAGCCCTGAAACCAGTAGTAGTGTTTCCGGGAAGGAGAAACTGGGTGCGATCACATTCACTGGCTGTGGACAAGATCAGATGCCTTAGTTAAAGGTTGGATTCTTGGTTCTCTCTCTAAACAAACACTCAGGCATGTATTGGATCGTCTTTCAGAAAAACCCCATCAAGAAAGAAATGCAGCTGATTTCAATGCAAAAGATATATGGGATGAACTTCAGACTCTGTATGATCTTTCAGTTCGCCCACAACTACAGAGTATGAATGGTCCTACCGTGCTTCCACAAGAGACCGATGAAGGTACAGTTTACAAATCTACCCCCGTGTCCCAAATACTAGTGAAATTGACGTTTTTGTCGGAGAGGATTTGACTAGGTGATTAATTTAGATAAATTTATAATTAGACAAAAATTTTAGTCAGCGAAACACTTGTTTAGATAAAGAAGGTAATAATAGAGAGAAAGTGAAGTCTCTTTAGTTATATGCGTGCAAAACGTTTCCAAAAGCAGTTCCCCAATCAAGAAACAGCATATGATATGGTTCCTATTTGTCGCTTTTCTGTTTGAATGTTGAGGTACCTTGTAACATCAACATACATCTCTTTTTTTCTCTTATATCGTACGTCCTTAATTAAAATCCCAAATGATCACGTATTTTAAAGTACTGGACATATATTCTCTGTCTTGTAGTTTTCTATACCCTGATAACAAAACCATGCAAATTTAGGTAAACAACGAGACAAAGGAGCAGATGATCACAAAAGATTGTACAAGTATATTCTATCAAGAGATTGGGAGCGTGTTGCTACATTTTTGAACGAAGAAGTAGTTACAGTGATAGACAAAATCACCAATAATGGAAGCACAGCACTCCATGTAGCAGTTGGGACTTCTAAGGACCTGGAATTCATACAGAAAATGTTGGAAAGGGCACCAGAGAGCACACTACTAATGGATGTGCTGAATTCAGATGGAAGCACGCTGCTTCATGTTGCAGCTATCGTTGGCAACACCGAAGCTGCTGAGATGCTGTTGGAAAGAAGCCCAGATTTGTTGTTTGCTAAGGACTACGAGGGTCACACACCACTAGCCTTAGCTCTTTCTAATATGCATAGCCAGACGTCTCAGCTTCTGTTGCGACACATCATTACTAACAGGGAGGAGGGGGATTCTATGCTTTCGGGAAGAAGTGGTGATGAGCTTCTAGTTCTGGTCATTTCTTCTAAAGATTTTGGTAAGTGTCGACTATCGGATTCTAATTAATTCCAGTATTAAAAAACTAATCATGTAATTGATATCTTTATCTACGGAATACATGTAGACTTGGCATACCATTTGGCGAGGCATTACAGAACATTACATAGTGACGCTGTGCTAATGGCTCTAGCTCAAAATTTCCCATGCGAACCCAATATATTGGAAAAGTATTTAGGTTTGCTGATTTTTATGTTGCGCTGCATGTTTCTTTACCTTTTCAATTTATCATAAGGCCTCTCTAACGTACTCTTATTGTACTCCATATTTCGTATGTTGAAGGGACTGAGATACTAAAATGGAAAATAGCCGGTGGTCTGGAAACCGCTTTTGATTATATGGGCCCGTTACGTGGTTTCGGGGTGGAAAAAGCAATAAGGCTGTTCATTGCCGGTAGGTCATGTGTTGATATATTGTTGGATTACTCTTCCTGTATTCGCAGCAACTTTTAACTTCTTGGTTGCAGAATTTATATATCATAATTCTAACAATTTTTCATATCGCATAATGCAGGGATTTTAATGATTTTAACGCTTTTCGTGGTAATCCCTTGGATGTTAGGTAAGATGAATTAACAATAACCATTATTGTATAAGCAAAATTATTAGAGAGAAAAAGGTCTATTTCTTTGTTTGACATGCTGATTTGGGTCTATGTTGCAGTGTGGCCATTTATTAAGGAGAAAGTTCGAATTCATAATGAAGCCACCCGATTATTAAGGAGAGTATGTGTTTTAATACATGTATCGAGTGACCCCAACACGGAACATCACTATTACACAAATCCGCTTTTTGAAGCGACAAGACAAAACGCATATGAAATTGTAGGAAAAATTGTGTCTAGATTCCCAAATGCAATTTGGAGTGTCAATAAAGATGGTCATAACATTATTCAATATGCCGTTCAGAAAAGGTCTACAACCTCCTATATCAGATGAGTGAACATAAGAATGTTTATAGAACAATGAGAGACTCTTCTGGCAACAACCTTTTGCATTTGGCTGCAAGATTAGCACCTACAAACAAACTGAATCTTATATCAGGGGCGGCTTTACAAATTCAACGTGAACTACAGTGGTTCAAGGTACGCATCTTTGATGATTAAAAAATTTTAATCTTATTCCACATACATGATGTTTTAAGACCAAATAGATATTATTCATAAAGCATGGTTAACCTATTGTAATTGTGTAGGAAGTTGAAGGATTTGTATGTCCTTTAAACACCACACAAAAGAACTCTTTTGATGAAACACCACAAATGGTATTTACAAGAGAACACAAGGAGTTGGTGATTGAGGGAGAAAAATGGATGAAGGCCACTGCCGAGTCGTACACAATTTCTGCAGCATTAATCACCACCATTGTGTTTGCAGCGGCTATTACAGTGCCAGGAGGAAACAATCAGGACAAAGGGACACCAATTTTTACCAACAACACCGCCTTCACAGTATTTGCAATATCAGATGCCGTATCATTATTCTCAGCTGTTACGTCATTGTTAATGTTTTTGTCGATTCTGACTGCACGTTTTGCTGAACAAGATTTTCTCTTCAAGTTGCCCACAAAGTTAATAATTGGTTTGGCCACCTTGTTCATCTCAACGACAACCATGATAATAGCTTTTGGGGCAACTTTGTACCTTGTGTTTGGCCAAAACAACTCAAGGATTCTTATTCCAATAGTTGTGTTGACATGCCTACCAATTACTTCTTTTATGACGCTGCAGTTCCCCTTAATCATAGAGTTGATGAGTGCAACATATGGTCGTAGTATTTTTGGAAAGAAGAATCCTGCATATGGTTATGACGAGTTTGGGTTGATAATAGATCATCGCTTCTATTAGTTCTTTCCACACGATTATAGTACGATGGATTGAATAGAGGTGGAAAATACCTAAAATTCATTTTGAATTAAATGTGTCAAGGTTGGTCTCTACTTTGTAATATGATAGTTATTTAAGGTATTAAAAGTAGAAATGGTTCTAAATGTTCTAAATATTGTATATCCATTCCTATAATTCAAAAAAAAAAAAAAAAAAAAAAAAAAAAAAAAAAAACTTAACAAAATACAACTATCAACTTTAATGATATTTAGTTTACGGTTTTGCGAAAGCACATTTGCTTTCCATAGAATCATTATCCGATTTTATTGTAGTCCTTATAATCCCATTACGACACAATCTAAATAGAAAAATACTCAAATCCTTATATTATGAACCGGGATCCCTTTCTTCTTGGACGTGGAATATTATCTATTCACCTTCCTCCATACCATGCTTGATCACTTATGATCATCACTTTGTTAAATAGTAAGCTAGACATATTTAGGCTCTGTTTGATATGCTTCTTACCGGTCCAGTAAAAAGCGAAGGGCATGTTTCATTTGATGTTGACCATAAGATGTTTTGTTCTCTGTTTGCTAAATAGTAAGCTAGACATATTTAGGCCCTGTTTGATATGCCTTTTAACGGTCCAATAAAAAGTTTCTTGTTTGATTTGATGTTAACCATAAGATGAATTTGTCTCGGTTTGTTAAATAGTAAGCTAGACATATTTAAGCCATGTTTGATATGCCTCTTACAGGTTTTTGTCTCAAGGCTCACCATAAGATGTTTTTGTCTCAGTTTGTTAAAGCTAGACATATTTAGGCCTTGTTTTTTGTTTGATACGCCTCTTACTGGTTCACTAAAAAGCTAAGAGCATGTTTGATTAGGATCTCTTACTAGGTGAGCAATAATAGCTGACATGGTCCACCAAAAAATATAGTGGGAACAAATCCTTTGTGTGCCCTTATCCCAAAATACACATGCTTCTTAACGCTTCTTCTTCCTTGTCGATAAATTCATGAATGAACACAAGCCTATAGCTCCATCGCTTCCTCCTCAACCGTCGTCCTCCTCCATACCCGTCGCAATCGCCATCGTTGTCGTCGGTCTCTTCCTCCTACATCGTCCCTTCAGTTTCTTATATCATATCCTCTCTATCTCTGCAAAACAATTTCTCATTGACGATCAATTTCAAAATAGATTGTTCAGAGGCTTGTGTTTGTTTATGGATGGTATCGATTTTTGTTTGGATTTATGATATGTTCAGAATACCATCATTGTATAGATATGGAGATAATCATGTCACTAATCTCATTGATTCGATTTTGTTTTGTGTTGGGTTATTGACCTTTTTTTAATTACTTGCTCGTGTTTGAAGAAATGCTAACATTACATGAATACGTCATAATCTCCTCATATTACTTATTATTCTGTTTGATTATTGAGTTTTTGCATAAATTTTTAGTGGGTATGTGGAGAAATACCAGCTCTCAGGGATACTTTGTATTGTTCTTGTAAAGAACTTTATTTTAGTCTATTGAATTTTAATAGTTTACAAGCAGGTAGTAGATTGAGGGTTAAGTAAACAAGGAAAGAAAATTCACTTATTTGTATGTGTCGTGTGGTTCGTGTTGCACACTATTCACAACCTAAATTGATCATTTACGTTTTTATTTCATAAGCATTTTATGTTGTCATACTCTTCTCATTGATTACGATTTAACTATTCACAACCTAAACTGATGATTTATGTGTAATGTTTATTGGTATTATGTACCAATTTTCAGGACATGGGTTTTCTTGTAGAGGATTTGTAGCTTCCTAAAGGTGCTTGCATTTGTTCTCGTGACAACATATTAGTTGTTGATACGATGATTATTTGAGTATGTATATTAACTGAATGTTGTAGTTAAACACAAATATATTATGATGAGATGACGGATGAGCATAAAAAGATTGTATTTTTTACAAGTTTCTTGATGTTTGAGTTCATTAATGTGACCAGGAATTGGAAATAGCCTTCAATGAAAGTGGCTTTAATCTCTTTTATCTAAATAGATGGGCAATTGCGTAATTTTGTTGGGTTGGTTGGGGGAAGGGGGTTTATTGACAAATTGGTAATCATAGTTTCATGTTATAAATAAAATGGTAAACCATAAAGGAATTATTATAGAAAATTATCTGAGAGTAATATAGTCATTTTAAACGGTCTCTTAGATGCAAAATCAAACAGTATGTTTTAGTAAGAAATTAACTTAGTCATAACTTCTAACCCAGTCAACTCTTATTCAGTTAGTAACTATCAAACGGTCCCTAAGTCTAAGAAGTTAACTCAATCAGAATTTCTAACTCAGTTAATTCTAACCCAGTTAATAACTATCAAACAACCCCTAAGTCTCCCTCGGTCTGAGTTAGGCCATTTGATACCACCCATTCGTACCTCCTACTCGACCAAACACCTCTTACTCAGTAATCACTAAAATTACGCTAACTGGAAATATGCAAGTTCACCCGCCTCATTTACCCAAGACGATGACAGCTCTCCTTCACATATGAGTATATGACATCTCTTCCATTGTTGTCGGTTCCTCCTACCTCCGATCTACTCCTTTATCGCCTCCTAGCACCACCTTCCAGTGTTGCATCACACCTCCGACCTCCTTAGCAATAAGAAAACCCATTCTTATTCCTCCATTTTTCTATTCGAAAAACAATCTACTTGAAATGGAAATTTATATTGTACAGAGTGAATTTTAGCAAATAAACTGATTTTGAACCCATGTAAACCTCAATTCAAATTTCCTTTAAATTGGTTTCTATTTAAAATTTTGTGACATCCTCAAATTCACAGTCATTTTAAAAAATTTATATATTCTTAATTAAAAATCAGAGTATTGCGGAATTTGTTCCTTGAAAATATAATAAATAATATTATAAAAGCATTTCCGAATAAATGTATTTTATTTATATTAAAACTTTGGCATGTCATTGTCAACACAAAAACATAAGCATAAACAGATCTTACATTCATTTACACTAGTGATTTACATCTCCTTTAATCTCTCAGTGTAATGTGTCTTCATATCGATACATGTGATACAAATAAACTGAGTGGGTCATGTTGAGAAACCTAGTAAGTACATAGGGATTTTAATCCCACGATGTTAAATCATATATATATATATATATATATATATATATATATATATATATATATATATATATGTGTGTGTGTGTGTGTGTGTGTGTGTGTTTTAGAACTCACAATATATACAATTTCACCTCATATAATCAATTTTACCCTACCCCTTCGATCCTCACAACGACACGATCTATACTCTCGGATCAAAAAACTATTTACCTAATCCATACTCTCGGATCGGGTATGTTTAATCCATGCTCTCAAATCAATAACTATGCTCATTCCATACTCTTGGACTAGGGACAATTTGACTATGTCCAATTCAAGCTCCCGGATTAATGACAAATAACTATGTCCTCTCCATACTCTCGGACTAAGGACAAATGACTATGTCTAATCCATGCTCTCGGATCAATGACAAATCTTAAAGTTCGACCCTCTGTGTATATCTCACCCATACTTATAAGGAGATACTACCCGATATTCATCTCAATTAATTTAGGTTTGTTCTGTATCCTAAATCATCATATATTATCATATATGCTCTTAACACGTGTTTCAGGCAATGAAAAATATTTAATACTTTAATCAATATTTTTATTAAAATCATGTTCATGAAAGGAACTATGCACTCACTTGTTAAAGTGATGACTCCAAACCCAGGCAGCGCTTCGTTTCTAACAATTTATTTTCCTTCGACAAAACCTAGTATAATTATCACTAGATTTTAGTCTAATATTTATTGCGACTAATTATTAGTCTAGGTTTATGAGCGATATTGTTTTATAAGTGTTAAACAATACTTTTCAACCACTATGTACAGACAAGGGCCAGACATGAAACACCGGAGGGCATGACCATTTTGGCATTTTAAGTTGTTTTGAAATAACAATAATAAACTTAAACATAAGTTATATATATTGTTTATAGGTTTATAATACTTACATATATTGTTTATAGGTTCATAATAACGATAATAAACTTAAACATAAGTTATACTTAAAGTAGGGTAAGCATAACTTACTTACAAGAGGGTTTGGCTAGGAACCGGGCTCTGTGGGGGAAGGAATTCCGAGCTAAAATCTCTTCTTCTTGGAGCCTTATGGCATTCCGGGACTCACCGCTAGCACTCAAGAAGTGCTAGGGAATGGGAGGGGCTAAGAGGGGTGTTTGAGAGAGAAAGAATGGAAATGTGTGAGTTTTTGGGGTGATTTGCACCTCTATTTGTAGGTTGAGTCTGGTTCGATTGCAGGACATTCCCTTTCTGAACATTGGGCATTCATGGACAGGTGTCATCATCTGGTGCCAAGCCGTGGTGAGGAAGCAGTGGCTCAGATCGTGCCACGTGTCGCTCACTAGTTACTCCAAAAACTAATTATATTTTAAGATCCATAACTTTTGCATACGAGCTCTGTTTTTGACATTCTTTATATCCACGCGTAGGTATCGACGAGATCTACAACTTTCATTTAGACTCTGACGGCTAATTTTGAATTTATTTTTAACCTTGTATTTTAACAGACTTAGATAGTTAAAATCATTTAAAAATTCATAACCTTTTCATCCGACATCCGTTTTTTACTGTGTTTATATCATTGAGCTCCTATTAGTGATATCTTCAATT